AACACCGGACTTGCAAAAGAAATTTATGAAACTTCATCAGAAACCTAATTGGGGGCTTGTTTGACTAGTGATGTATCCTCAACAAAGCTCACGTGCAGAAAAGATTCATATGGCCCAACCCAATTATACATTTTCATAATTTTAGCTTGCATGGGGATCAATCTGTGTTTATATTAGATAAAGGCTTCAAGAAATTTGTTGGGAGATTAATATTTGAGCATCTAACAGTTACATCGGAATTGACCAGAAGACATTCGAGTTTCCTGACCTGATAAATGGTTAGAAGATACAACAATCAATGGGTATGTGCAGAAAGCAACTCAATTTTGGAAAAAAAAAAAAAGATAAACAAGGGTTTTAGAAGTCTAACACCGGCGGACTTGCAAAAGAAATTTATGAAACTTCATCAGAAACCTAATTGGGGCCTTGTTTGACTAGTGATATATCCTCAACAAAGCTCACTCTCAGAAAAGATTCATATGGCCCAACCCAATTATACATTTTCATAATTTTAGCTTACATGGGGATCAATCTGTGTTTATATTAGATAAAGGCTTCAAGAAATTTGTTGGAAGATTAATATTTAAGCATCTAACAGCTACAGTTAAAGTTACAGCAGCAAGTATATATAATACAAGAAGTAAAACAATAAATTCCTCATCATAAACTACTTTTCTTAACCCTAATCTTGATAAAAAAAAGTCTAGTGGAGCGAACCTGCTTGACAATAAAAGGTTCTTCAGAAAGGCATAATGGCTCTGTTAATATAGTTAGAAAACCATGTTTGTTGCCATAGACCACGTCGGTAAAAATTCGATCTCCCACCTGGTAAAGAATAGAAACATATACAACACTTATTCCAATATATATATGTGTGTGTTTAAGAGGTCAAAAGATAATAGGATTGGAGGAGATAAAGATCCCTACCATGACAAGAAGTGAGGCCGGACAACCAAAGTATCTTTCTATGTCTTCAGCTGTTCCAGCTGGCTTCTTTACCTCTACAAGTATCAGAAACTCATTTAAAAATTCATTCTCCACATTGGCTTAAATATAGCATCATGTTCTTTATAGAAAAAAGAAACATGAAAACAGTACAAAATTAGCATCATATGGTAATGTTTACACTTTATAGTCTTATACTACATAAAAGCTTACTGCTTCTACCAGAAGACAAAATGTAACATGATATATTGAGGAAAAAAATTGGAAAAATGGTTGTAGCGGAACATACAATAGTATCCAACAAGAAGTTTTGTAGAGAGAATATTAGGATCATTAGTTGAGAAAAATAGAGAAAGAAATGTGTATGAAACAATGCATAAATGCCAAGGCACATTTGATTTTCAAGAAAAATAAGGATCTAAATGGTGGAATACAACTGAAAATTAAACTCCTTCAGGGTGCCAAACCCCACATTATTAGTGAAGACTTTCCCAAACCTAAAGAAAGGAGGTTGAGAAGTTGAGATAATTGACAGCTAGTAACCCATTTTGTTAAAACTAAAACGATTACAGTCAATGACAGGGCTCGTGAAGTAGACTGCTTATAGGTCATAAACATTACATCCCACCTAGGGGCCTGTATATTGGATCTTAGTTACATCAGGGTTTGTTCTTTCATCCATATTCTAGATTGGGACCTCAAACATTACTTTCAATTTCATGTCTGCACACCAATTTGAATGAAATCACAACAGAATATTTTCTTACAATTAAATGATCCCATTTCTTTGATAAAAAAATGATGACATCATCCAATGAATTTTCCTTAAGCACCATCAGTGCAAACCACAATACATTATAAGCATACAAACTTGCTTTTATTTGTTGTATCATCCACAAAACAAAATAAATTTGATTATTTCCAAAAAGGATGTATATTTTTCTCAAAGGAGAAATATCGTTGAATTTAAGCATAATGAACTACAAACATGACATTTATTTAGAATGTAGTTATCCTCTAAACTAAATAAATCGGGGAAGGACCTACTAAGCTGCTTAACAAAGTTCTGTATCTACCTACAATATTTAAGTCATTAGTTACATATTTGTGGACCTTATCTTTTAGTAATATGAGTCCTCTAAACCAATGTTATGGGGACATCAACAGGAGAAACGAATAAATATGCATATCCTAGTATTATGGTTCAGTTGAGACAAAATGAAGAGTTAGGAAAACGTAGGAGAAAAACAATTAGAGAACATTGCTACTTAAGTTGTGATGTCATGAGAGTGCAAAAATATTGGAAATATATGTCTTAAAATCAGAAAAGACCACTTTTAATATCACTATATTGTTTGATATTGGAATATACAACTTTTAAAATTTTTATATTGTTCAAATTTTAATAAAGTGTTGTGGACACATAGACATGCATCTAGCATGGCTTGTGGGTTTCAACTAAAGAGGCCACAGTAAGAAGAGACAAAAGGGCATGGTTGACTCAGGTTTATCATTTATTGCACTGTTGTTCTACATGAGAGATAAAAAAAGGTTTCTCATGTAAGATGAAATCATTGCATTATTTATTAAGACAGCATAATTATATATAATAATCTAGTTCCCTCGGTCATGTAAAAGACAAGTTTAACTTGATAGATTATCACAAAAACTTTCACTGTCTCCTTTCTCAACATTGCCAACTAATGACCTTAATCACCATCCATGAAGTTCCTATGATCCATAGTTAATTTAGCATATAAGCAACAAGCTGATGTAATAACCATTCTTCTATCCTCCATGACTGCCCTTCCTTCAGGACTAAAAGGATAAAAAAGGATTATTATGGGATTCAAATGCATGTATCATGATGGCAAGATGGTAAACTTTCAAGACAAGAAGAAAATGACATGCCTGTTATGCAGAGAATACATAAATCAGAAGGATTTCTCTAGAGCCCATGGACATGACTAGATGAGCAACATAATACCTCTCGTCAAACAGCTAAAATTCATCAATTCAGCACTAAACCAATTAAAGAAACTATGCACTCACAAACTAAAACTAGATTTTGAGAGTAAACATTATGTCCAGAATTCAATGCAACCCGAAATTTCAACCATCTTTGCATACTGACGGCAATAAAACAGTATAAAACAACCATATTCAAATGCCAAATTGTGGAAGAACAAAATGGACATCACCAGGCTGCATCAATCAAACAGGAAGACAACAAGATGTATGAACTATGAAGTACTTGCCATGCCTGATAACATGAATCCCGCCAATCGACTTCTCCAGAGCTTTTGCCTCCTCGCCATCTGGATCAAACTGTTTTAGACCTGCACAGCCCTAAATAAGTCAAGCAACATGAATTGCAGCAAAGAGAAGGGAGGAGGGAGATGCGGGAACCGGCGGAGTTGCTGAAGACGGCGATGGAGCCGGCGGTGAAGGCGGAGCGGCAGAGGCGGAAGGAGGGGTCGAGGGGGGGCCAGAGGGAGAGGGAGTAAGGGGCTGTGAGTGTGTTGTCCTTGTCGAAGACGACGCCACGGAAGCCGAGGCGGTGGAGGGCGGGCCAGTCGACCCAACGGATGTCGGGAACAGAAAGATGTGGGAGGGCGAGGCGGGGCTCCGACGCCGCCACGCTCAGGAGGGACGCCGCCCCCTCCCGGTTGAACAGCTGCCCCAGCGCCCGCTGCCACTGCCAATTGCTGCTGCTATTGCTACTAATGCCCATTCTCACGCTATTCTTGTTGTTGTTTTGGACTCCTCTCCTCCTCCTCCTCCTCCCTTCTTGTGTCAGGGGAAAGCTGCTGGAGGAGGAGGAAGGGTCGATTGGGTTTGCAGAACGGTGGGAGAAGGGAAGTGATGAGATTGGCAACATTAGGTTCGGAAATGGATTTGGGTTACGGTGGGCTCAGGTCACGTGATAAATTTGGTATAGGCAACAGTTGCATAGGCGATAAGCTAAAATTACAACGAAAAAATAATGTTACTTTAATACAAAAAGTAATTTACATATTTATTATGTTTATCGATAATTCTTATATTATATCAAATTACAAAGCTGCTATCCATATGGTTTATTTATTAATTTAATATATTTAAATTAAAATAAAAATTAATACATTTATAAATTATTTAACTAAATCGAAGTGTTACACATAATCTCATTCAACTCATTTCACAACCCTACACAACCACTGCTACAGATAGATGAAGTTAAAATATAGGCTTTTGTGTCCATATAAGTAAAGAGAACAGAGACAGTTGTTGGAAGAAATAGTCTCCCCACTACACAAGAAGTAATTGAAGAAGGTAAGAAAAACGTGTGATCAGATATAACAAGACTGAGGCAAGAGTGGAACAGAGTTTCTCACACTGCTGACAACTAGTGAAACTTGATATGAGAAATATGAAACTTCCAACTTGGTTATGTATTGGATTACCTCACAATGCTTTCTGCAAAACTGAACCTTGATACAAACAGCACCCTTCAAGACTGTGGAGTAAACTCAAACATGGTTGAGACATATCATGAAATTGAAGACATTATAACCCCCAAGTTGCAGATGAAACACTGCATACAATACAACAATCAGATCACTAGTCTTCATCATCATCTGCAACCCAAACAAGGAAGTCAAATGAGTAAATGCCAAAATCAGCAAAAAAGAAATCCAATCTATAAAGCAACTGTCAGAATGATTAATACTTATTCAGCTTTATCGATTATCATTAACAACAAGCAACACAACATTGTTTCATCTATTAGATCTATGAATTTAGTGAAGTGGAATATTATATTTATTTCCCTTCATCCGTTAAGGCAAGTAGCATGCTTACAGGTCAATCTGCAACTAGTGATGGTATACAGAAGTACTCAATTGTATCAATCACCCACTTCTTATTTACAGAAGCCAGCCAATCAAATTCATCTGAAGAATTATGCTTGATCTAGATAGTAACATGATTATTGAACTCTGCTTGGTATGCAGTTATATCTAAAAAACATGCCTCTCTTTGAATAATACACAGAAATGGTCAAGGCGAACATATAAAATTAATATTATCATATAATAGTTTCTGCTAGAGAATCAATAATAAACAACTGGTCCTTGGAAAATCACAAGGTTTTTGTAATGTATAACCACCAAAAGAGTTGCATTGGCATACTGCTCTAAACCTGATATTTGTGCTATCGTCCCAAAAAAATCATACTTCGCATAAATGCCCAACCATTCAAATTTCTGTCACAAACATTAAAGCTTTCCCTGCCACAACGATGAAACCTCCTGTATGAATATCCATCAAAAGTTTAGGAAGAGATAATAACATTTTATATTATGTTTTTCTGATACAAATAAGGGGAAATTCAGTCGTATCTGATATATCAATGATAACCCAAATAAGTGAACAAGCTCACACAAAAGTCAATACAAAGCCACATATATACTTACTATATATGATACTAAAAATGGTTTATTTTTTGTATAAAAATTGGGTTACATTGCAAATCATTTTTTAGAAAAAGTTCATTTAGCTGAAACAGGAAACTCCTCTTCCTTACATTCAGTATCTCAACACAAAGGTAATGCTCAAGTAAATATGGTAAAACTAACAACATTATCTTAACTGACTTATTTCCACCTTCTGCTTGTCACAGCTTTATCCATTCAAATGTTTGAGAGAAAGGATAGCGAAGCAAACATAAGCAGTCGTGGTGTTTTTCGGCTAGACATAACAAGGGGAAAGGTAGTCGACGTTATAGATGCCTATAATTGATTGAGGTTACCAACCATATCCACCAGATATTGAATTATTTTAGGACAACTGACGGAGATCCCCGAGTTTTCAGAAATTCCAAACTTCAATGTTTACAATGTATTGTATTACTATGTATCGAAGAGTTGTAACTATGTTTACAATGTATTCCAAACTTCAATGTTTACAATGAATTATTTTAGGTCATGGTTCTTTTCGGAGTTCACTCAACCTTCCCAAACCAGTCATGAAGCCAAAATTGTTAGGTTTCCTACTTACAATTGATGTCCAATATTCATGATCCTTCCATCATCAAACTCCAATTTTTGAGCTGGTTTTGATCAACTCATCTGATTAAGTAAATCTTGCATGTAGTAGCTTGTGTTTTCCGTAAGTTGAAGTATTTATCCAACATCTTGCAACTTATTATGTGGAAACATGTTAGGTTTAGTTTATTGCATAGACATTAGTACACCCTGACACGTTCTGTGCATGAGAAGCTGTTGTTGTTTGTTGTTCAAATATACCAGTGACCATCATGTCACAACAGTTACTGGATTTTATATTTGTCATTTTTAACTAAAGGTTGCACTTGCTGATGAAAACAAAGCCAAAAAGATTCTTCACCAAGTCGAAAGGGGCATGTTTTTCATGAGGCAAATAGGAGAACTTCCATGAGGTGGCTTGGAATGCACCATAAAATAATTCCTTCTGTCCATAAGGAAAGTTTTTTCCATCTGAAGATGAAAACATTTGGATTTCATATTGTGTCGGTCATGCACACAAGTGAATGGGGATCATCTTGGATATCTGACATCTGCTTATTTCAATTACCAATTAATTATCCGGTACATGCATGTTAGACTTTAAACTCCTTATCATTGTCCAGATAACTAATGGATGCTATGTGGAGGCTGTTAGTACTCATTATTTGATTCATCTATTCTTTATTTATCAAGGAGGTAGCCAACCAATTAGCTAAATCTTCCTAGAAATGTGGAATTTGCAATAAGAGGTTCATAGGTAGTAAATGCTTTCTAGTCACAACAAATTATCAGCCAGTTATGCCATGGACATTGATGCATTATTGAGAAAAAAGTATGTAAATTATACTATGCAATTATGTTTATGTTGGTTCTGCATTTGATGAATTATATACAAATATTTCACATATGGTGTAGTTCAAGCTAATATTTTCTTTTCTGTTGCATTAGATAATTGCTAATGTATGACTTGTCTTTCAAGTTGATTATCACATTAGAACCAGTTCTACTGCAGCTTGCTAACAACATATGCATATGTGCTGTATGTATGGGTTTGGGGGTCAGTCAGTTACTTAGTATACTGAATTTTGAACACACATATAACCCTATTCGTCATCCTTCTTTCCTTAGGATTTTAAAGTCTAACACAACCTTTCGTTCTTCACAATCAATAGATATGAGTGGCTGTGCATGTATATGCTATTTCTTACACCTGCAAGAAAAATATATGTTCCTGCATCCCATAATTACTATGGCTCATTATGTCATTTGCTGATATGGCTTGGTAATTATTCAACATATGACCAGCACAGAACAGTAGCATAATCAGGGACTTGAAAATGGACCTATGTCAGCATTTGCCTCTAAAAACTAGAGTTGTGATCCTCCTCTAGTTTTTCTTTTTCCCCTTCTTGTATTAGCAAACATTTTGCTCTATCAAACACAAGTTAACTTCCAAAGCTCACATCTCTGGCCCAAAGGGATAACTTGGCTGTCATCAAGTATAGCAAAGAAGACCCATAACATGTGTCATTGATGGGAATTCCTTTACCTCTTTCTCCCATACTCTTTTACTACTTTATTTTTTCCCAGCCAAAACAATTTTGACAGCATGGCAGCAAGCCAACTATAACAATGGCTTGTAGCTTGCCAGCGATCCACAGCACAGGGCATTCCTGCCAAACTGAATCATTTCTTGTTCTCAGCAAAAGACAAGTGATATTGTGAGCAATGTGCATGATGATAGAAGTCCTTTTTAATCTCTAGATAACCACTTTGATAAGTGAACAATTAAAATCCATAAGTTATTTCGGTGTTCCTCTTCATACTGCAAAATTGTTTATCCTTTCATTGATAGGTATCATTCTTTTTGCCAACTACCCATGTATGCAATATCTACTGACTCTTGACAATTGAAAATGATGATCCCCGATTGAATGGCATAATACAGTTTTTAATCTTCTAATGGCTGCCAATGATACCAACTCACTTCAAATTATCAACATTTCCTGGTCCATCCTTGACATACTCTCTTTAATCAGAACTCTCTGAATGAGGGTTCACAAAATGAGCAAAGCCCCAGTATCTTACACTTGGTCCTATAACAAGAGTGCAAGAGCACTCTGGTGACATGTAAATTAGATTTTCAAATTCCATCATGGTAAATATGTATATAGCCCAGTTGCAAAACATACTTCTAATCCTTTTGACTCTCAACTACAGGACAGAGCCTATTATCTTCCATCACATGCTATGTTACCATCTGCAATCTTCCAATTGCTTCCATCAATATCATCAATCATACCAGATGGTCGTCATCCTTAGTCCCATCTTCCACGAGCTGTCTCTTCTCAGGAACCCTCAGCAATAAGGGTAAGAGCACTACAGCGTCCCCATTCTCCTACATCCAATTCTACTGTATATAAGGTCTCGAGATTCTTTCGTGGTAGCCAAAATCGGGAACGAAGCAAGAAATAGAGGCAGTGGAGAAGAAAAGAACGAGGGGGCAGAATACGGACCGAAGTATCTGCGCTCATTGGCGGCCTTGGCCTTGTCAAGAAGAAGACCGCCCCAGCCCCAACGCACCACGTGCTCCCACGGATCTGCAAGAAGAAGAACCGATCGGTTTCACAATCAGAGACTCAAAAACAGGAGACCAAACCAGAAGACTACGAATCGAGGAGGGAGGGAGGGAGGCCAATTGCGTACGGCGCATGTAGGGGAGTTTGCGGAGGGCGTTGGAGTACAACTGGGTGCGCAGCCCGAGCAGCGCTCCCACCGTCGTCGCTGTGGCCGGCGTTTCGCTCTACTCTTCCGTGCTCGATTCCTCTCTCTCGTCGCGCCTTCGGAAGCGAAACGACCAGATCAATTTCAACCCCGCGCTTTAGGCCGGATGGGGGCTCATAAAAGATTAGAAGAAGATGTTGGTGTTAAATAGTAAATAGCTCAAAGGATCGTAATGTAAATAGCTTTGCATATATAATGTTGAATTCAAATGTACAGATACCAATATAAAATTACTAATCTTCGAGGCATATATATGAAATTTTGACAGCGTAAGTTTGTGAAGAAGAAGCGTAATGTAAATAAGGCAAAGGATAAGGGTTTATACGTAAAAGGAGAAACCTGATATAATTGAGTTGAATCGCTCCTCCTTTGGCAAACGGAGGGCAGCGCTTACGGTGCGGCTTAGGACGGCGGAGGGGGAGGAGGATGTCCGTTTTGTGGGAGAAGAGCGCGACATGGCGGTGGCTGGTGCAGAGGACCCGTGACTCGAAGCCCTTCTTCTTCACCTTCGCCACGGTGTGCGGGATCGTCCCCGGCGTCATCGGCTACTGCGTCATGCAGCTCACCAGCTCCCGCAACGAGCAGCTCGAGGCCCACCTTCGCCAGACCGCCCGCCCCGAATCGACCGTAAGTTTTGTTAATCGTTGCTTTATTTTCTCCTTCTTTGTTGCTTTGTCATGCCTGCTCCAGGTTTTAGGGTTCGAGAAAAAATTGGTCGATCGTTGGGAACGTGTTGTATGATTAGGAATGAGAAAAGCTTTAGTGCTTCGGATGTTACAGCGCTACTGTTTTTCCATGATGTCTTCACCTCCCTGTGGATAAATGGCAATGAAAACAAAACCTAGTAGAAAGGAGCCATTTTGAGTCCAGGTTGGTCTCATCTTCTAAGGGTTTGGGATTAGTTCATGAAATATTCTTAAAAGTAGAACAAGCTTCCTTCTTGTGATATTCTTCTTCATGCTGTTATCTCTTTCTCCATTAAGAGAGACCCGACTCCTGAAGGGACTAAATTCCCAAGTACAATGTGGGACAGCAGGGGGAAACAGAAGTGAGGATTTCTGGGTCATGTTTACGTTCAGAATTAGTTCATTAGTTTTCGTCCCATTATTCATCTTTTTTTTTTCAATTTATTTCTCCACAGAGAAATGTAAAGATATATTTACTTATTCAAACAAGAAATTCGTCTCTCTCTTTTTTCGTCCATTGATTCATGTTATGGTGGCTCTGATAATGGTGGTGATAGTTTTGTAGTCACATGGCAGTGTTGGCCATAACATTGATGGTAGATGGTTGTGATAGTGGTCCAAAAGTGATGTTAGCAACAATGCCAATGATAATAAAAAACTAGTAAAGAGTATCCTTGGAATATTTGGTAAATTATATTTTGTAGTTCTCCAAGCTAAGGTTGTAAACACCAGGCATACCATCATGTATGTCTTGGTATTTACCGGTCCAATCGGGGATTGGGACATGGACCAGGAAAATTGCTCTGTACGATTTCGAACATGGTGTACTTGGCAGTGCCCTCCATGTACCTTGTGTACCGATTGAAATATACCAATGCAAATGTACATATTGTTTTTTGTACACTTTTTATTTTTTTAACAGTGGCTATCTGTAAACATTTGTTGAGAGCTTTCAATTGCAGTGTTCTGTTGATAATAGCTATCAACAACTGCTGGAAATCAATAGCCTCTCTCCTCCTCATATTTCTATACCTCTGCTATAGTTTCCACCTGCGTCACTGCCACCTTGGTGTTGCCCTGCTCGCATCGCTGCTACTACCACATTCTCATGTGGCCGCTGCCTTTATCTCTTTTGGTACACCTTGGCCTTGCCACCACCACCACCTCCTCCTCATCTTCCTCCTCTTCTCCTTCTCTTTCTCCACCTCCACCTTCTTCTCCTCCTCCACCCACCTCCTTGTCCTCTGCCTTCTCCCCTGGCTCGAACCCCCTCCCCTCTTCTCTCCTTCTCTCTCTGGGCTTGGTGGTGCCAGCTCATGCCAAGTATTGGTACTGTATTGGTTTGGCCACTGACTGGTATTGACCTGGATCGTGATTTTAAACCTTGCTCCAAGGTCTACACAAAATTTAAAATCTAAAATAACATGTTTTGATTTTCAACTAATAAACATGTTTTCTGTAGTTTTCAGTGTTCTTGAATATCTTTTTCAAATCTAAAAAAAATTAAAAGTAAATACCAAATACTAGACTGTGATATCTCAATAGAATTGATATGTAGCTGAATAGAGAGGAGAAAATAATTGCCACAGTGATTTCTTGCTATAGGAAGTTTTATATTGGACAATATCGACATGAGTTTGATCCTACTAGCCACAGGTTTCAGTTTCATACTTATGTGAGTTAGGGGTTTAGTTTAAGTGAAAGATGAATTCACTTTCAGTTATGATATATATAGAATATGTTAATGGTATGCAAAGATCATACTGTATTACTGATATTTTTTTCAATCAAATGACTCATCTTTTGAAGTCAGATATGTCCTATTTTAGTTATCTATTATTTTCACGATCCGAGCCTAATAGGCTAACTAACCTATCAACTTTGTTTGACCCAAACTATTGGCCAAGATGCTTAGGCTGAAGTTTATAGTAGTACACTCATCAGACCTTTATAAGTCAATCTTAATACTGTCCACTTTTGATGTGTGACCAATCGGGGTGTTACAATCTCACCCACTCAAGATCTTGACGTCCTCGTCAAGGCCTAACATAGCTCATATTAAATCATAGTATGGTGCATGTGAGGCGTAGCCTGGTGGTGACTCCACGTCATAACGAGTCATCTAACTCCATCCATGGGTAGTCCTTTCCTACTTAAGCCTCTTTACTATGCTCAAATACTAAGTCGGTTCTAATACCAAATGTCACAACCCGAGCATGATAGGTTAACTAGTCTATCGATTTCATTTAATCCAAACCACTGGCCAAAATATTGAAATTGATAGTAGTCTCATCAGACCCTCACACAAGTCAATCTTAATCTTGCTCACCTTCGATGTAGGACTAATTCGGGTGTTATAGTTATTCTTTACGTTTTCTTTTTGTAACTCTTAACCTATTTTTCTTCTTTACTACCCTCCTAATACTCTGTTTTTTGACTCTAGTTAACTTAGTCCTCAAAATGCAATAACATATTTAACTATAGTTCATATAGGATTCCTTGCAAAAATAAAAAAAGTACCCTTTTTTCTTTCTATTCAATTTTGTTAATTGTGAAGACTGAGGTGTGCCTAGTTTACCATAAAAGTTGTAATTCTAATGATATAAGCATGGGAATCATATGAAATTGCTTTATATGACACCTTAATAATAAAGAATAGGCCTCAATTGGGCAGTGCTTCCTCCAGTACCATTCAGGCAAGCATGAAAATGAATGTCTACAAGTACCCTAGTCTGCCAAATTCTTGTGATATCATTATTGAGTTCTCACTAGTGTACATGGTCTTCCAAGCCTATGGATGAAAATATCCAGTGATATTGGATTGGACATGCCAGGTGAACAGTAAAGTATGTACAGGTTAGGAATATGAAGGTTCGCTACCTCTGAATTTGCTGGTTTCTGTTGTTCAATCTAGATGGTTCATATTCAGAGAATCTTAACCAATTAGGTTTTGGCTGGCACTTTTTCTGGAGCTTAATATGTTGATGATCTTATAATTTCTTTGAATGCTTAGAAGTCTTTGACTGGCTGATATATTCTGCATGATACTTTGTATATGTTCTTTTTTACATTTAAATTCAGGAGAGAATTTTCTTATCAGATGTCAGTTGCGATATTTATCGTGATACAGATATGACTGTTTAGATATTAATGTTATGACTGTTTAGATATTAATGTTATGTCTGTTTAGATATTAACATCTTGTTCTGTGATGCTAAAATGCATTGCAAACTAATCAAAATGACTATTTGCTATCCGATATGGTAACAAGTGCATGGGCAGTTTGCTTGTGTTGCCAATTTAATTGTAACTGACTGTATATTTTGTAACTTAGTATTTGTTCTCAAGAATTTGTAAAATATAGGATTTTGGAATTACTTCCTAATGTGTAAATACTTAATTGATCCTCTTTTTTGTCTCATAGGTTCAATTGAATAACAAATGACTGCCATGATACACCTTGTTAAAATCCTCTAGGGCAACCAACAATTTGATGATATAAGTATCTCTATGAAGAAGTAGAAAAACCTGATTTAAAATCATTTTAAATTGTATAACCACACTGAAACCTATACACTGGGCACCAGTAGCATGCTCATCTCTGGTTATTCCATGTGACTCTTGGTTCGAAGGATTTTTGTTTTTAGCACAATTCTATACAATACAAGATGTCCTTTAAAATGACCCTAAGTACTCTTTGTTATGCATGTTCACGTAGTTTTTTAAGCTGATGAACTTGTTTCCTCTTCTAGCAGTTCTATTAAAGTTAAAAATTCTGTCATTTGTGTGCCATGGATAACATTTCCAATTTCCTGTTATGTTCTCCATATTTGCATTGTGCTGGTTGAATGATCTAGGTACAAATTAAGAACTGTGTTAGTTCATGGAGTCTTTGGTTTCTAGCATTTGCAAATGTCATGATTATATCTGAGAGCTCTTCGTCAGTTGCATGCATTTGGTCTCCTACATCAAGCTGCAGACTGCATTTGCAACTGCATCAAAAGTCCTCCAGTCTATATGTTCACATGCAACTCAACGCCATACAGAGGGGTATACACACCATTGGCAGCATGCATGCCACCATTCTTTCCCTCTTTAATTGGAGTTTACTGACTTAGCAATCTACTATTTCATTTACTCTGTGATTTCCTGATGTGTATATAAAATTGAATAAAACTAACAACAGGCAAATTTAATTTACTATTCAGTTGTATTTTTGTGTTATCAATTAAGGTTAAATTGAGTGGAGATTTTATCCCATCAGAATCAAAGCGTTGAACCTTTTGGATCAAAATTAAACATTGGAATAACATGTTGAAGATTCACTCCACAGGATGTGATGTACAATAATTGAAGTTCCTGGAACCAAAATAATGTGGATTAAAGTTATGATACCTTTGCATCAATCCAGTATAAAAGTTTGGTGCCTTTATATGATGGTTGCAATAGAATATTTTAGATGGCTGAGTCCGTTATTCACTTCGTTGGGGTGGTTCTTAGCTAACTATAATCAAATTGATAGAATTATGAACTACTATTATAGTACAATTTATGTTTCAAATGTGATTGCCGTGCTAGCGTGGTTGTTTTAGAGGTTGTTCTGCTTTATCATTCTGGGTTATCGACTGGTTTTTACTACTTTTTCCTCTAATTTTTGCATGCCTTTAATTTCACGTAGATGATGGGGCAAGTCAACCGAGAGAGGCTGGCCGAGTTTCTGGGCGAGCTGCAACGCAAGGAGGACACAAATGACCGATACGTAGCTGCTCTGCGAGGGGAAACCCTGACTAGGAAGCCCTATGTTCGGATTCAACCAGTGCCAAAGGAGAACAGTGAAGAAAGTAACAAGGAGACCAGCAAAGAAAAGTAGTAGTTAAAATGTTGGTTCAAGTTCTCGCTTTGGTACGGTCCTTCTGAGGACCAACTCCTTTCTGAATTCACTTCAGTGATAGATTTTCTTTTGCAAGAAACACTGGCTTGAATGGTTGTGTTGGTTTATTTTGTATAAATCGAATCATGGTGACCTTCCATGCTGAATAGACTTGTTCAGCCTCACAAATGATACAGTGTTCTCGTCATTGTGTTTATAGTCACAGAACTACAGAGAATAACCCTCAGGGTCGTACATATCGCAGAAACCTGAAGTCAATGATCCACAATACAAAGATTCAGTAAAACCACTTGGATTGCAATGCCAAATAGACAGAAAATAAAGTAAAAAAAAAAGCAAAGCATAACTACATAAATAGAGTAGAAATGGAATACAGTTGCATGCAACTATCAAAGAATCAGCAAAAAGGCCCTGTGTTCTAATAATATCGAAGGCACTTTTGACTTGAAAATATGATATAATCACACCTAGAGATTATCAAATAACCAACACGTTATGTTGTTAGATCAGCATTCATGCACCCAACTCAGCTCTACGGAGAGGTATCGTTATAGACAAGTAAGTTTATAAAGAAGGTAAATGTCGATAGTTGTGTTCGGATGCCGGTGGCGATTTCTACAAACGCGTTGTAAAAGACCCTGGCGTGGGTACATGGTTCCTGGCATGCCAATGGGGATGTTAGTGATAACTCAAACTCTAGTCAATTAGCTTGCAGGGAAGCAACCTCTTAAATTTCTTTTAAAAATTATTATTATTTGATTTTATGATAGATATAATACAAAACAGATCTGCTTTTATGATCTTAGATATTTGATGTCAAAATAGGCTCTAGTATTAATTATAAGTATAAAAAATATAATTATACCATTATGCCAAATATATCTAATGCTATAATTTAAAATTAAATAATAATATTTTTTATTTAATTCAGAATATCTTTCTTCTAATATGTAAATACATTATCTTTCGATCCAAAAGAAACAACAATACTGATATGCAAGGAGAACTAAATTAATCTTCGGCTCTCTTCTTATCTTTCGTAAGACCGATGGAATAGAGATTAACGAAAGATGATAATAGATCTATAATCTTTCTTCTATATCTACCCTTATGAGGTTTTATCTATTTATAGGTCAGAGTAGAGAGTCTAAAATAAACAATTAGGAGAATCCATTTTATCAAAGTCATCCCCAATAAAGAATTCTATCATAATTAGATTTTCTTTTTAATTGATCGATAACCCTATCAAAATCCAATCAAAATTGTAATATATATTATCCAATTAAATAAGGCTATATAATCTAATATTTTCTTACTTGACCTATTACTTAGCAAGATTAAAATAATTTAAAATTATAATAAATAAATAAAAATATTTAAATTTTTTTTATAATTAAATTCTACAAATTTTGAAAAGTACTTTACACATGACCATAAATTTTATAAAATAAGTTAATAAATTTAATAAATATAATAATACTATATTAAGTTTGATTACTAATGCTAGTCGTAGTGGTTATATGTTATCAATGTCATATTCCTTTTTATGTATCACAATACTACTTATCTTTCTTATCTTTCTTAATACATATTCCTTTTTATGTATCACAATACTTATCTTTCAACCATTATATATATATATATATATATATATATATATATGATAATAAAAATAAATAACTTTAATTACATAAGTAAAAATATCAATTATGTTGTCTAATCAAATATATATCACCATATCTTTTATGGGTTGCTCATAAGCCTAATCATAAGAATATATTCTTTAGCTACCTTAAACTATAAGGCCTTCGTAAATGGATCGACAATTAATATAGTGAAACTTAGGTTTTCAATTAACATTAGTTATTTCTAAACTCTTTCTCTAATCATTAATTATTTTATATCATAAAATATAAAATTATTAGAGTATTTATCATTCTTAGGAAAGAAAATTACTATGATATATCACAAGATATTTTCAGTAATTTTGTAATTGGGTCTGACCACACCAATATATTTTTAAAAAACTTGAAAGAAATAATGGGATCATAGAACTTTATATATCATTGTCTGGAAACTTGTTTAAAGTCATAAATAGATTTTTTTTTAATTTATAAGCTAAACTTTCTTTTTCCTTCTTTGTAAATCCTTTATATTATTCCACATAATTTTTTTTTGTCTAAATCCTCATTCAAAAAACTTATTTTTAAATTAACTCAAGGTCATAATAAGCTATTAATATTATAATGATTCTTAACGAGTTTATTTAAAAATTTAAAAATATCTCGTTATGATCAATACCTTCTATAAGATCACAATCCACCACCTCGCTTGTGCTTTATCGTAAACCACAATTCCTCTCTATAGTCATTGACCTTGTCAGTTTTGAGGCCTTACCATTGCCCATCGATGCCACCACCTGATTGTGCCACATATTGCAATGCCCAACCGACCACAAGACTCTACATCGTGGACTACCTTCCATGACGACTTCGCTTGGGTTACCAGACACCATTACCATCAATTGACCATCGTAGTGCAATATGCTCTTCACCATGGGCAGCATCCAAGTGTTGATTGTCATTTTCCCAACATTGCCACGGCTACCTTCATGGCCCTTGTCACCACTGGTCAAGGCTAGTGCCCAAGAACCATAGCTGCAACCCAACTAGGACGCCTATCTTTTTCATAGTGCGTGACTTCCACGGCTCTCGTCTCCTACTGCCATAATTACATACAACAAAAAAAATGATAAAGAATCCCCTTTCGTAATAGTGTCCACCATTATGATCCTCATCGCCCTTGTTGTCGTCGCTTGTAACACAGCTAACACCACACTCGAGGACCCACCATCAGGACATTTCTTCTGCAACACATCAACGATTTCTACCTTAAACAGAGCCATTGCACCCTACTGTGCCATCGCTATCAACAAGCCATTGTCTTAAATAGAGTCTATGATCACAACGTCATCCCAATATATGCAATCGTTGCCCAATGCAATAGACATCGCATGCCTTTGCCATTGTCCAAGGCTGATGACCTCCGCCAAAAATAGTACTCGTCATCTCTTCGTATTCTTTATAAGATCACTATAAGTTATGAATAGATATAAAGAGGAGATAAAAGTATATTTGTAATCTCTCTTCTGTATCTAGTTATAAGTAGTCCCTCTTATTAAGATAATCTTCAATAAAGAATTCATAATTAGACTTCCTTTTTATTTATTGATAATTCTAATCAAAATCTGATTAAAACTCTAATATATCTTATCTAATTAAATACGACTATATAATCTAATGAGATAACCTTGGTCTCCTAAACAATACAAATAAATCTATCATTTGTGATCATAAAATACGTGCAAGTTCTGCAAAAGAGATTAAGATCCTCAACATCTATCGCAATTCTTTCATCTGTTGCTAAGGATCCTATCTTTAAATATAGTCTTAAGTAATTGATCCACCCTAGCCTGTAAATCTTTCCACATCTCTATGGCCCCTGAACCCCAATCATCATCATCAGCACGCACAAGAGAGAGAGAGAGAGAGAGAGAGAGCTGGCTGCTTCTTTGGCGACATTGCTACAACAATACTAACCCATGACTAGGGCCTTTATCCTCATCTCAACACTCCATTATCTGACTAATATATACAGCTCTTTTTTTCTCATTGATGAAAGAATATGTTAATTATATATTTTTTTATATAATTAATTATCTTTAATATTTCGATCCTTATACTTTTAAAAGTTATATCATGATCCCTTATGAAAGTAAAATATTTAACTCTATTTCTCTTTACGTCGTTGACTCTATTAACGGAAATATCATAGAGTTTATCACTAAGCATGTATTAATTCTGCATCACTTTGGTTTACCACATAGTACATACGGTATTTTCGTCAGCAAAATTGACGACGTAAGGAGAAACGAGATTAAATATTTTACTTTTGTAAGTATAAAGATCATAATATAATTTTTAAAAATATGGCTATTAAGATGCTAAGAATAACTAATTACATAAAATAATATGTAATTAGCTCCAAAAGTATATATTTATATCTTATTGTGTAACAGTAGCATGGACCATTTAAACGAAGTAGAAGTAGCATATAGTTTTAAAGATTGGATTTACAAAAGTAATAAACCATATCTTTATGTTCATATGCAACAGCATCATAGACCATTTAAAGATCGCTAGTTATTGGTACCCTACAAGCTAATCATATGAGTGATGATACTTATAGTTTTATACAATCTTTTTTAGTTAATAATAATAATAGTATTTGCTCACTCTATATTGTATGATGAATATATATTATGATGTCCTTGAATTTGTGCAATGAGAATTGTATCATGACGAGATCATGATAATGAGACCAATTCTCTTTAAACACAAATCCTAAATATTCTTGGTTATAGGTTACTCGAAAAGAACATCGATATAACCGAACATACTAATGTATTATATACATGTTCATATGATGGAGGTAATTGGTCTCATTGTTGTTTGTATATGGACATTAAGGATATAGTGCAAGTGCTCATTGGAGAATGAGTTCCCTGAATAATCTACTTACGGAATGCTAGATGGTTAATGATACATCATCGTCAAATAGTGATTCCGTAGTCCTAGTTATGCATCTGGTTCTTGGATTTGGGACACCAAGGATGTCTTGTTTGAGTACTCAATTTTTTAATATCAGACTTATAAGTTTGAAAGTTCTAGATCTAGTATTATTGGTAATTGGGAATGATAACCAATATTATAAAATCAATTATGTATCAATAAAGTAATAAAGGATTATTCACTCTCGATATCACGAGAGGAATATCCCGTGTGTTCTCACTAAAGCAAATTTCTAGTAAGGGTCAATCAGATTGAGAGAAAATAAGTTCTCTAGGAGAATTCGATAAGAGAGACTCTGATAGATTCCGTATGGGCCTAATAGCATCATGCCCAATATACGATCTCTAAGATATTAGATAAATGAGGGACTATAAATACATGGTAACTGAGGACAAATAGGTCCAATGGATTAGATTCCTCTGTACCGTCTATGGACTATGGCATAGTGTCCTAGTATATCCATAGTCGATGAGTTGAGTGAAGTATTATTATGATAATAATTCATTAGGTCAAAAGGAGTTCTGAGTTAAAAGGAGTTTTGATAGATGTAACTCATGGCTAGTTCGGTATTACGCCTAGAGGGTCACACACATAAGGTGGATGACGCGACGAATAAAGGATTGATATGAGATCTAATAAGCCTCCTTTAGCCTTTTAATGGATTTATTGGGTGAGACCCAATTGAGCATAGAGTTTAGAGTGATTATTGAATAAGGATCCAATACCCATTAAGCCTTTATATAGGGATTCATTAAGAGAAATGTGAAGGGTCACATAGAGGGACTCTTTATAAATGGGAGTGGTTCTCTAAGAGTCATAGGTTGGACCCTTTAGAGAAGCCAACCTTTCATCTCTTTTTTTCCATATCTCCCCGGTAACCTCCCATGGTGTGAGAGGAACTTCCCTTGTGTGAAAGGAGAGCAAGAGGGCTGCCCCCCCTTCCTTGCTTTTATTGTGGCTACTTGCTGTCGTGGTGGCTCACTACTACTGCTGACTTACTACTGGGTGGAGCATCGTCACGAGAAGAGAGTCCGTCATGCAGAGGAGTGTCGTCGTCGCCATCCATCTTGGGGACTTTCACTAGAGAAGAGCTTGCGATAGTTTCTTCATTCGGTGGGTCAGGATATGTAATATAATGCCCATGTCGTTTTTGAACAAATATATAGTTGACAAAAGTACCCAATCATATCTTTAATATTGACTCATTAGGAATTTCTATTTCTAATGTGAGAAACAAATTTTAGATCAATATTAGAGAATATACTTTTGATAATATCTGAGTCAACCAAGACTCAACAACTAGGCTTGGAACGTTAATGGTGAAACAAGAGTTGAGAATAGTGGAGTGATTGAGAAAACTTATGCTTGCTGGGTGAGCTAAAAAATATATGGTTTGAACTATTTTGATTAAAACTATAGTTGTTGGACTAGAGTGTGCAAGGGTTCAATAGGAACAATAATTGTTTCAATGACTAATTGTGTAGGTTGTTGATGTTGAGGTGGTCAAAAGAAAACGGAGTCCTTGAAGAGTCATCCGAAGAGTTTAGTTTCGGAAATTTGGATTGAGGGGTTCAGACCAATTGAACCTCGACCTGCCCTTGGATTGGAATCATTATTATTGGGCGATTCAGTCGAGAGGCATTCATCATCGTCGAACTTGACCTATTTAGATTTGGGTTCTTGGGATTTGGTTGAGATGGGCTAGTGAAGTTTCCTTGAAACATATATATTTTGATTATTGAGCTGGAAGCTAATTTGGATCCAATGGAATTCCTTTTATGAGCCAATCTCAAGTTGAACTACTTAAGTAGCATCCAAGCCATGTAGAACTACATTAGAGGTACTCTTAGGTGACAAATAGACTTAAAATGTTTAGTGTATCTAGACATATTTGTGCACTGCCTTTTATATGGGTATTTGAGATTATTACAATCACTATTGCATAATTCGTTCAATAATAAGGGTGTTTAGTTCAATCGTAACTATCATCAAACTGCACTAAACTCCATATTACATAACTCCTCTTTATGTGACATTAATCTACCATAACAAACTAGTTTTACCGAAAAAACATGAGTGGTCAATCATGTGGCTTCCTCATATTAGCCACACGGAGTTGATATGTCTCACCATGGAAATGATGTGTCAATCATGCGAAGTTGATGCTTACGTGAAAACCTACATGTCAATTATATAGAGTTAGCTCATTGATCATATGACCTTATCGTATAAGTTAAGGTGGAGATAAATATGTCACCGTACAACTTTGATATATTGGTCATATCATTTTCTTCCTATCATAAGGATATTAATATATATATATATATTATATTATATTATATTATATATATATATATTATATTATATT